TCTCTCTCTCTCTCTCTCTCTCTCTCTCTCTCTCTCTCTCTCTCTCTTTCTCTATCTGTTTATCATAAAAAATATGTGCAGCAGCAGTTCCGAGCTTTGTCGAGGCTAATGCTGGTACAAAGGCTGTCTGAGGCGGTACTGTTATCTCCTGTAGTCTAATCCGGCTAATTAAGGGCATCGCTGGGAGGAAAGTGCTACTATTCTCATCCAACTCCAGGGTATGCTGTCTCTCCGAGTCTGCAAAACTGGCATGTGCTTTTACAAACACCTATGCACACACAAAGACGTGTGCACAGATGTAGAATCCTTGACCCTCGACACACAGGCTTCAATAAATGTGCTGCTTAATAAAAAGTGGAGGATAACAACTGCTCACATACTGATTTATATGCCCTTGAGGAAATGAAGTCCAGCATTTTGCCGTCTGATTCTCTCCACTCAAGAGCAGAATGGATTAGCTTAGCGTTCACGTAGTCTCGTAGAGGTACAGTGAGTGATAGTGAGGGTCTGCACACAAAGGGGAGCTGAGTTGCTAAACACGAATTTATACACGACAATGATATACAAGACTTTTCATTTAGAAGTTTCGATAAAGCTATGAGTAGATGCAAATAAAAATGTCAATGGTTTAGTCATCTAACGCTTCACCAGCCAACCATGCCACTCTCTTGTCATTCACTCCTACAGTCTGACACGTCAGCAAAAATGGGACTTTGTAGAGACAAGAGGTGATGATGGATGGATGAACTCACTCGTCTATTTCTCAGCCCCAACTGTTCATCTTTGCAGGCTTGCGTAGAGTTATAAATGTCACGACTTTAATGTAACAAATTATTATGCATCCTATAATAGTTTTTATTGATGCATATGTGTATGTGTAGGTGTCGGTGTATGGGGAGATCTTTAGGGCTTTGGATGAAATGTGAGTGAAGCGGCTTTTCTTGTTTCATCCAGAAGGACATTAATTAATTAGAGCCCCTCTCTGAAAGAACTTCCTGAGTTCGAGACTCGTTAGTACCGAGAGCTCCCAGATAGACACAGATACAATTTCGTTTCAGACTTGTCAGCAGTCTTTTGTTCAATGTTTAAAGTCCCTGTACAGTTTCGGTCAATGCTCGCCTGCCTGCAGACATCGTGCTTTGCACACACATGCCCATGCATACACCCAGAAATGTTTACACTCATGAATATACAGGGCATAAACAAATACATTGTGTGCAGACAGACTCACAGATATGTGTCAGTGCACACAAACACACTAATACATGTGCAAAACCACTTACCGCTTCTTCCCGATCTCTCTGTGTACGTCTCAGCGCCCATGGCGGTGCCTTTCTCTCTGTTCCACTCGCTTTATCCATCCTTTTTCCCAACGCTTCCTCTCTCTGTTTGGATAATCCAAAGTTCAATTGGAGTAGAAAGCACTCATAAAGTAGAAAACACTATGAATGATTCAAGAATATTGAAGTTAGACGGAACAAGGGGGGTTCGCCGTCAAACCGTGGTGGTGGTTGATTTGCGTAGGATTGTTTTCTGGGGTTTGAGGGAGGGAGGGTGAGGAGGCACACAAGGTGGAGGTGTGTTTGCTGTCGGCGGGAAACTGTGGCTGACCGAGAGGCCGCCGTTTTCTAACATCAGAACATGAGGAGGAGGAGAGCAGGAGGAAGAGCAGCAATGCAGTGGACTGAGCCTCAGGTTGTTCAGCTCGGCCTGCGAGTGTAGCTCCGTGTCGTCTACGTTGTATTGGAGGTCGCAGTCCGGGCAGTAGCCGTGGTACTGGACCGTCTCACTGAAACGGACACGTTCCCTCTCACGAGACTCCCTGCCGGGGGCCTTGGGGCATTTTTTCTTTTCATGGCGGAGAAGAGGCATGGGCCTGGGTAATGTAGGAACAAGACCCGACTCAGGGATTCCGCCGTCATTAGAAATGAAACACGGCATAGAGGAGAAGAAATCCCTGTTTGGTTTAAATGGGAAAATCCCACCGTTCCTCATCAGAGACCCGGCGGCCTTGGATATATTCCCTGATAACACGAACGTTGGATGAGGCAGATTCTTAATGTTGTGCTCTTCGGCTCTCGGCGGGGTCAGTCTGGGTGGTGGTAAGGGAGGGTGGGGCTTCTTGAGTACGGTCAGAGGGTTGACGGGGACCGGGTCGATGAGGACGGGTGGTCTGAAGATGCAGTCATCGGGGAAGAGTTTCATCTTCTCCAGGCTGGACGCGGTGGTCGTGGTGGTGGTGGAACTGGAGCTGGAGTTGAGCGTGTCCGTCTTGGAGCTGTCCGTAAGTCCGTCCTCCTCCAGCTGCAGGTCACCGGTCAGGGTGTCAATGTCATGAACAACCTGGTGACAAGAAGAGGAATCGTCACTGAGACGGCTGAGGTCAGCCATTATGTCAACGCTGAAGTGTTTATCCTTTTAAATAATGAATTGAAACCGCATTGTATAAAATCTAAACATACACTCTGATTTAAGAAATGAATGTTTAATGAGATTTAAGTCCTCCATGACAACCACTCTAGGGAGAAAATAAATATCGCCACGATGTATGGGAGCAGCCACGAGCCTGAGACTCTGAACTGATATAGTACGACAATCCCATGCACCATCAGAGCTGAGAGAAGTAACAGTACCAACCCTGTAGCCAAGTCACACACACTATCATTCATAAGACAAAACTAATGTTGGCAATGAATGAAAATGACATCCTTTACAGCACAAGAGTGCAGAGGACTCACACAAACACAGGGATATAACTGATAGAAAAGGAGGCAGATATGGGAAACCAATAGTCTGTCAGTTTCTTGTTGTAATATTCTGCTGCAAGTGAGCAAGTCGGAGAACAAGAATCACAATACCACCAGCAAGAGAGTAAATAAGATCACACTGAATAAAACGCTCTGACAGGGAAGATCCATTTCTACCAACAACAGTGTCAGATTTCTTAACATCAGCACAGGAAACATTCATCACGACATTAATTAATTCCAAGAAAGCAATATGACAGAGAGAAGAGGAACCAAATAGATATTTTAAAAAAAGCAAGACGATATTATGCATAATCACCTGAAATCACTCTGCAAGCAATGCAATATGAAGGAGCAAATCTCGATCAGGTGTGAAGGGTAAAAGAGAAGACATAAGAAATGCACTATGGCACAGCCCAGTAAATACCTTCTGGGGAGAGGAATATTTAAATGACCTGTGCACAGCAGACCGTTATTATAAGGGGGGACGGGGACAATAGACAACATTGTAATAAAGAGAAATTGCTCAGAGCAGCAGAAATAAATATAAGATTTTGTCTCTGGACCACGTATTCAGTAGATATTTAGATCCAACGGTGCTTCCTTTGCCCTCCAGGAAATTTGTTTTCATAGCCGGCTAAGGGGCAAATTGAACAACTGTTGAAGCAGACATTTTTGTTTGATGGCACTGTACAGGCAACAAGCAATACTGGAAAAAAACGTTGCAAGGATGCAAGCAGCACAAATTGAGATAATACATAAAACATTCCCACAGTACATACTGTACAGACACACGTTGGAACTGTACAAAACCTGCTGAACAGCACATTCTTTCAGGGCATGATGCTCAACTGAGTTTGATGTAATGTGCACCAATCAATATGCAATAACCTCAGTCAGGCCAAATACGGATTGACAGCACAGCTAAAGAGTGACAGACAGCGTTGTTCTTAGCATACTGGTTATTATCTCCTGTGCCCCAACAGATCACATTTTGTTGACTTAAGGCAAGCACTTGCAGCACTCTCCCATAAATGTTCTGTGTTAAGCCAATGGAAATTGCATTTAAAGACAATAAATATTGCCTGAGGAGCCAGGGGATCACATTCTAAAAAGGCAGTTTAACAAACAGAAAAGACATGGTGCTAAACTCTGCTGGAGGATTAATAACTGATATTCAATAACAAAATGTCTATGTTGCTCAGCCATTTTCTGACATCTACCCAAAACGTTCCCTTTGAAGAAGAGTTCTCTTCCTGGTTCTCTTCCCTTGGTGGAGTTGTTATTGCTTTGATGCCAAGAACTGGAGTCAAATATGAATTGAGCTGAAGACATATCTAAGTTCATTGTACCATAGCAAAATAAAACTTGAAGAAAAGAAAGTTACTGTATTGTCCTTCATAAAAAAATTACGACAATGTGCTTATGTTCATTTTCTGATTTAGTTAAGCTCATCTCAGAGTGAGACTATACCCAGTACATTAGCCCCGCTGTAAAACACTGGTGCTGTCATCTAAGGGTTCGCAAAGCATGCGCAGACAGTGGCTTGGGAGGAGGCTGAGATGAGGATGAACAGATGAGAAAAGAGAGAGAGACTGGTGAGGAGATGAAGAGAGAGTGAGGAAAAAGTGACTGAGAGGGAAAGATAAAGAGAAAGATAGAAGGCCAGGGCATGGAGGGCAATGGAGCTAAACTCGTCATGTGGTCTTTGAAGGGATAATTTGTTGGGACACACACAAGAGGTAATACCAGTATCCCATTGTGCAGCCCCTGCTGTAGGCCAGGCAGCTTCTGTGGCTGTGCCCAGCATCTGGGCAGGGTTCCTCCTCAAGAGCCTGGCTCCAGCCCTGCCTGTGACTTATAACAGATAACTGCATTTTAAAAGGATTATACCCCAAACACTGGCTTTGATAGTAACAACCCCTCGAGGTATGTGTTTAGTAGGTGCGGTGTCAGAATAACTGATCCTCTGCACAATCTCCTGCAAGCCAAAATTTTAAAAAAGAAAAAGAAAGAGGGCACACAAATCACAATAGAGAGATTACAATGCCTTTTTGTTCTGCTTTATCTCCGGCGCCTGCTGTGAGATACTGTAAACTGCTGAAAAAACACAAAAGAAGTCGAATTCAGCTCAAGTTGCAAGAACTGAGTAAGGGGAGCAGGGAGGCAGATGGAGACATATGCTGTGTCGACTACCCATCCATAATGTAGGACCCAGAAGCTGTGCACGATAGGGTTTTATTAGAATGACAGCCTGTCATGTTATAGGGTGAGAGGTCCAGCACAGCAGGCCGGATGCCTGGTGTGTGACCGGTACAGAGGAATGGATGTAAACATGGAAGCAGGTAAGGCTGCAGGTTATTATTACAACTGATGGTAGCAGTGATCGGCAGAAGAGGAAACGCTGATTTGAAGCAAGCAGTAACACGCCAATGAAATTTGACAAAAAGGATTTGTCTGTGCTCTATGAGAACAACTTTAAACCCTATTAAAAATCTTCATATACCGCAGACAAATCCCTGAATTCTTCAGAGACGCCTCCTGTCTCTGCATCACGGATATTTGAATGTCCAATCAGACAGCTCCAAGAGTTTGATCTTTAATAAGGATTATGTAGAGAGAGAGAGAGAGAGAGAGAGAGAGAGAGAGAGAGAGAGAGCAGACAGCAAGCGATGAAGACAGGACGGAGACGAGTGCACGATAAACACGCGATGAAAGATAAGAAAAAACAAAGAAAGATGAAGATAAAGAACAAGAGGAGAGCTTGAGAGCGATGTGAAAGTGAGAAGTTAAGCCAGCTGCTCTATTATTTGTCAGCATTAAGATGACGAAATGCAATGTAAAAAGCGCCTTTCCTGGTTGAACCAACTTGTCCATTAAATATTAATAGTGATTAGCCTGTGAATCAGGGCGAAGGAGCATGCCCGGTCACTTCACATCCCGCGTCCTCCTGTGTGCCACATGTCTTTCATGTTGGAGATAATGATCACACACATCAGTGGGCCGGGGGGAGGAGCGTGTGTGCGTGCGTGTGTGTGCGTTCGTAGCCTCTTCCAGGCCCGCGAGGTGGACGTCCACCTCCCTATGTCCTCTCACACGAGGATGCTTAGAAAGAGCATCCTCAGATCAAATAACACAACACATGGTGGAACACTCATACGAAAGGCGTTGTGTGGTGGCTTCCTGTTCATTTACCTCTTTGAGCTCTTTGGCTACATCCTTGAGGTCTCCCAGGATGGTTTCCAAATTCTTCACGATTGTCTTGATCTCCTTTTTCACTTTCACTTTGGAGACTAGTCCTTCAGCCTCTGCGCTGGGTGAGCCGGACATCCTTCAGTTTTAGGGCCACAGCCTATTTCGCGAAGGATCCAAAGTCAAATCCTTTGGTCCGCCACGCTGCCACTTTGCCAACGCATTTTTTATTTAGTCATGCGCTCCCTTCACTTTTGCTCCTACATCACGGCCAGGACGGAGCCAAGTGGCGTTGGGCAGCGTTCTGTATCCATCACTGGGCATGCGCGACAGAGCGTAACACAAACAAAAATATAACGGTTATGTCAAAATATTGTATCATACTGTCTACAGGTCTCTGCACCTCACATCGTCATGACCGACAACAGGCGACGTCCACGCGAATATCCTTCACGTCGGGAGAGCGCTAAATTCAACATTTCGTAAGAAACCGCGTCCAACACGAATGCGTTGGAATGAAAGAGAAGGACGCGAAGAAGAAACAGTAGTTTACGCAGACAGTTCACGTTATCCAGACCGTCACACCGCCGGTCGTTGTTGTAATTGTCCATAATCCCCAAGCATCGACAAAGCGGTGATGAACTCCTCCGTTTTCTTCAAATACACGCCGCTGGTAATGAGAAAGCCGCCAGGTGAAGACACCCCAGAAGCACTTTCCTCCGAAAAAACACCCCGACAGCTCCGTCCTGTCTCCATCGAAGCCTTTTTGGAGAGTCTGAGCAGCCGACGTCCGGGCGCAGGGGATGCTCGTGCTCTCTCTCTCTCTCTCTCTCTCTCTCTCGTCTCTCTCCCTCTCTAGTCTCTCCATCGCACGCTCTCTCTCCCTCGCGCTCTCTATTGGCAGCTGCTTTTACGTTGAAGAGGTCTCAGTAATTTCTATAACGTGGCGCGTTTGTTGTGTTTAAATAACATATAGGCTAATTACATCCCCACTAGCTGTAAATAATGCTATCCAATCGATGCTGAGGCCATGCTGACGTTTACTTTGACAACAAAAACATGTCAATAACAAATACGTGTCATCCATAAAGGGGTGCCCACGAAACAGGCATACCATACTTTATTAATTCACTTTTGCAAAAAAAGGCTGCAAAGTGAATATACATGCAAAAACAGACCACAATAATAGTACAAGAAAAATACAGAATACATTAAGACAGGCTTTTTAAAGAAAGTCAGTTTGAAATATCTGGGTAAAGTTGACACATTATGAGTTATAGGCCTTCATACACACAACACAAGCAAGACAAAAACAAAAAAGGAAAGCAAACAATACTCCAACCATAGGTATCCAAATAGTCTTTCAAATATAAACCTGCTTTTTCTGTCATAATGACTCATTTTACAGAGTTTCCTGAAAGTGGGGTCTTTCTTCATATTCCTAACCTGATTATAACAAGAGGTATTCCTCGTAGACAGTTGGTATATCATACTGATGTGATGGAACTGGAAAAATGAGTTGAATTCGGCATTATAGATTAATGATGAACATTCAAAAGAGGCTTAAGAGCCATCTTCTATATAGGAACAGGACAGTTTTCAAAGAGATTTCACAATATTCAAATACAACAGACATCCTTTTGTTTATTTTGTCACTGGCAGAGTGGTAACTACATCTGTGATCATCAGCGGCACCACTACCACCTCCAACATCATCGTCATCGTGGTCACCTTCACCATTTATGTAGTTATTTCAAAATTTTGATGCAGAGATGGTGAAAAGTGCTATGATAAGGTAAACATCTGTGGCAAAATGAAAATGTACAGAATTAGTTAATGGGGAAAGCTCACAAAATAGATAATGTTATTCCCAACACTTACATAAATGAACTCGAGTATTCAAACATAAAATCAAAGTAGACTGCATGTGTGAAATAAATAGTGGCGAAAACAAGATAATAACATCCTGGTTTCTGATTGGTCGCTGCTGAAACTGCCCCCTCGTAAATGCGGAAGTGGAAGTTGTCTTAAGTTCATCCTGCTGTCTCTGACAGCCAGTGTTGCTCTTGTAACCACTGTGCGTTTAGTGTTCAGAAGCAGAGACTCGTAACTCACAGAGGATGGCTTTGTCTTTCGAGGGAAGAGTCGTGCTTGTCACCGGGTCCGGAGGAGGTAAACTCACCGTTCAAACGTAACCAAACGTTAGCTAGACTGTCATCGCTGTTGCTGCTCCGAATGCTAACCTGCTAGTTGCATAGATTAAGCAATGTTATGTGTGCCGAACTATTAAGACAGTCAGTGCACGAGTCTGTCTTTTCTTCCGTCTGTGTTAGCTGCCTACGAGTTAAATCCCGGTACGTCAACTTGCTATAACGTTAAATGCGGACGCCGGCGAAACAAACATAAATACCTCAAAGTAAACAATCGTTTAGACTACGGTATCACATTTTTGTACACATATTGCAATATGTAACGACTACCATCGTGCGTGTCAACCTTTTTTATCTGAGGAACACATGGAGCAAAGTGCATGTATCCAAATGACAATCACGCGAGTGCAAAGTGTGTGAAAGGTCACGTGGATCAGCAGCAGTGGTTTGTGTTGATGTTACTCTGAAAGTATGAGAATGCGTTTTACCCATCTGTCTTTCTCTCCACAGGCCTCGGCAGGGAATATGCTCTGGCTTTTGCTGAAAGAGGCGCCTCAGTTGTAGGTAAATAAAGAATCTAGATTTTCAGCTTTTTTTTTTTTTTTTTGTCTGTTAAATAAAGTTTTATAAATTGTATACAGCACCCAGGGGCATTTAGCCTCCGCACTTAACCCATTGTAGCACAAGGAGCAGTGTGCAGCAGTTATACCGGCCCAGGGAGCAGTGTGTGGCTCTGGTGCCTCGCTCAGGAGGCTAACTGGCACATGTCCTGCTGCCAGTTCCCACTCTGTACTTGATCCGTTTGGGGACTTTAATCAGCAACCTCACCCCGGTTCCTGAGGCAAATCCCCACGGACTGAGCTACTGCCGCCCCCTCTCCCTGTCTGTTTTGGAACAGGTATTTGGGTTATACTGTGGTTGGTTAGTGCGACCCGGCTCTGATCCTATATACTGGGTGAAAAGCCTCTCCATAAGTGAACCCTCATAATCTCTTTTGATGTTCTCTTTGCATAGACAACGGAGAGCCTTTTCAGTGTGCATCGTGACATTTTGACCCAGCAATATTTCCCATGAAATTTTTAATTTAATTAATAAAATTTCCCTTTTCGCAATCTTTAACAAGCTAGTTTTTTTTTAATCAAGTTCTTATAGCATTTGTTGCTGACTACATACAGAGTACAGTAAAGCAGCCGCAGTGATTTTAATTCATACTACACGACATTACGAGCAGAACCTGCAGATTCTTGCTCTTGGATGGCTCTCTGCCAGAGGTGACTGTGGGCTTTAGGGGTGTCCTGGTTTTGATTTTGGTCGGGATGTTCTAATCCAGTACACAGGACTAGTATTGGCACAGATATACTCATCTTAAGAGGATCGGGTATCAACCTCGACATGACAGATCTACAGTAAATACAGTGACTTGAATTAAGTACAATGTCGTCATGAAAATACATTGTTGCTGCTGCCAGTTACACTTGTTTTTTTCAGTGTCACAGCAATCCCTGGTCTTGGGAGAGAAAACAGTTGAATGGGTGCATTTAGGAGATAAATAATACCTCTAAATAGGGCATGTCATAAAGAAATGTGCAGTGCATTAACCATCACAGTAATGTTTTAATGGTGTTGGCATAAACATTTGTTTATAGCGGCTTTCCCCCGATGCCTGGACTGAACTTCACCTCGAACTCTGACAAGGAATCAGCTTAGCTACACTCTTCTCCTAACACAATCACTCGTGGAGAATTGCATAACTCACCCCATTATTGCTTATATTTTTCTTCTTGTTGCAAATAAAGTGAATGACCTAGGGGCAGACATTAAAGGGGGCGGAAAGAGTTCTGCAGCTGCCGATAAGGTGGTGGAGGAGATAAGAGCGAAGGGAGGAAAGGCCGTGGCAAACTACGGTGAGAAGTTTGGACTCTTGTCTTACCCTTTTTTTTTCTTCTCTTCTTTCTTCTCTTGCACGTCATTTTCTCCATCTGGTTTGTTTGTGTCTTGCTTACCTTGTAGTATCAAATACGATATTGATTTCTGTCAGACTCACCGGCTCACTGGCGAAGCCGTTAGAGAGTATTGATGATGCGTCTATCTCCCCTCTCATCTTTGTGCGTCTCACATGTATCAGACAAAAAGAACAAAGAACAGAACAACACCTTGATTAATGTGTTTCATAGGCAGTTTGGAAAATGGCAGATTTGTTTGTGAATGTAATAATAAGGATGACGCACCTTTTTCTAACGATCAATGATGCCCCAGCAATACATAACTCTTGCTTTTGAAAAAGTGTCTCATCATGCATCATTACTCAGCACACTGAGCATGTCAGGGAGGCTTTCAACTTGCTACATAACACATCTTTCTCATAAGCCTGTCAGCTATATTGCTGTGACACTTACTCTGCACACGCAATTTCTATCTACTTTTATGACACTTTTTTTTTTGTCATGCACATACAGATTCTGTAGAAGATGGAGAAAAGGTGATCCAAACGGCACTGGATGCGTTTGGAAGAATAGGTGAGAATTGTTTTAGTATGTAGTAGTGAATCAATAAAATTCTCTCAATTATATTATTGTTTGTGATTGTTATCACTGCAATTTGAACTTATGTGACATATCTTTTTGCCCAGATGTTGTCGTAAACAACGCCGGGTAAGTCCTTTCACTGTAACAATCACACTTTTTGCCGATCACATGTGTTTTTGGAGTGGCTCTTTGATTATAGTTACAGTATTAGTGGGAGTGTAGGCTGCTACAACCATGTCGAGGAGAACCTTGAGTAAAACCCTTTCCTGCTTTTCTTTGCCAAGGATCCTTCGTGACCGATCGTTTGCCAGGACGAGTGATTTGGACTGGGGTAGATAAACTATTCATGATGTTTACGTTCACTTCACTCTAAATAACTCATAATGTGGATACATTTGTTAATCTATGTCCCTTATGTACAGACAGATCTGTATGTGGGAGTTTACACATCAGTTGTAATCTGGATCTGTTCCACCATGTTCTAATGTGAAGTAATAGCAGTGCATTAGTGTTGTGTATCTGACTCTGTCATATCCTCTTCACACTCCGTTTCAGACCTGATTCAAAGAGTTCACTTGAGAGGCTCCTTCTTGGTGACTCGAGCTGCCTGGAACCACATGAAAAAACAAAAGTTTGGCAGGTAAGGAGCCCAGCTACTTATTATCTAAGGTGGATGAAAGCTGTGCCGTCCTCCCTTTACGTAGGTAGGATTAATTTTTCCGAAAAAAAAAAAGTGACACTATCCCCAGCAGACAGACCATTGCTGAACATTAATCAAGAGGATGTCAGCCTGGCACAAAATGCTGTTTGGTTCAGACATCAGCTAAAGTACCGAAAATGTTTTTTATGCATCTCATTTTAAGTGGCCTCTTGAGGTTATGCACTTGAGGTAATAAGGAATATAAAGCATTTTCTGCCTTCACATTATTACACACACATTCTGACTCTGACTATAGTCACTTGATACCCGTTAATATGTCTCGCTCCATTGGTTTCGAGGTGCGCAATGAGAAAAATCTGCATACTTAGAAAAGCCCAAGACAGCAAATTTGAGATGAATATGTAAATCACCAAAGAAGGAAGGGAATTACTTAATATGGTTATGCGGCACTGCAGGTTAATCTCTGAACAATCTGAGTGCTATTTAAATTGATGACTCCACATGAAGCGGCAAAGATGTCTGTGCAGGCTCATCGTATTCTTCAAAGTAGTACAGCATTAAAAAAAATAAAGTAGTCGGAACTTGTAGAGTTCAAGGTGTTTCCTCACCTCTGGAGAAACCTCTCGAATTCAATGAAACATTCAGCTGATAGTATATACTAACTCGAAGCAGTCGGGTATGCATGCAGATATGTATTGATCATGTTTTGAAGGTATAATCAGTTGCTCATGGAAGATGGTGAAGATATTTTGACCTGCCTAGGGGGCAACTGGTGACATAAACAATGGCTGCCTTTGGGATCTGAACTGAACACTCGTGCTTTTCCTGCTACGACGGTTAAAAATGTGTGCTGTGAAAAAAAAAAAGGCCTACTGAGGTTTGCGTGTTTTGAATTAAAATGAGCAGAAGAAGGTCACACAAACCAGCTGTGCTCCCATGTAACTCCAGGTAGCAGATGTCCTGCACATGTGCTCTGTTTGAGCGGGAGAAGACGGGGAGTTCTTCGAACATTGAAGTGACATTTTGCATGAAGTATCGCTGCATTGAGCCCAGGAGCAGCTTGTTATTTCTAATGTCCTATGGTTTCGAAATTCAATCTTTGTGTGCAGTCAACCCAAGCAAAAGCTAATTGTGTATTTAAAGGTAATACCATAACAGAACGAAAGGAAAAGTAGAGCGGTTCGTGGCGTGACTCGGACAGAATAGAAGCCACGGCTGTGAATAAGCACGGACTGATTATTATACTCTGCATCAGGTCCTCGATGCACAAAAGGCCGTCTGTGTGTTTGCTGTTGCTCTTCTACTTAGCAACCTTTATCACATGTGTTTACGTAGTAACTCTTGATCGTCAGAAAGGTTCACCCGGCATTTGAATCATAGACTTCAGCCCAAGATATTCATTTAAGAAATATTCAACTATGCCAATCCCCCCCGACAGTGTACTGTGACATGGATCACTGCTTCCAGCTACTTGTAGGTGCTCAAGCTTTTGTTTGTACCCGCGCTTGGTGCCGTAGCGCCAGCCTAGCATGAACGGAGGCGTTTTATTCTCCCAAACGCCAGAGGGCGTACAGACAAAGCGAACTTTGAAGAATCAAAAAGACGAGTGTGACCCATAGATGTGCCCATAGACCAGCCAAACGCCATAAACCAAGCGCCACAATGACGAGAAGGGATTGTTATCATCTGTAAACTACGTATATGTCAACAAGCCCTGTAAAGAAACAAGTCGAGCATTAAAAGTATTATAAAGGAAGATTGAATATCCTGTACACAGTTTCATTTGGCTGCAAAATATTTACTCAAATGAGGATTTTAAAGACTTCCTGTTTCTGAAGCATTTTAAAAGTCCAGGCCGTGTGTCTGCTGTGCATACATGCATTTGTTTCTGCGTGCAGCCTTCTTCAAGTAAAATGTTCAACTAAAATTTACTCTGTGCAGTTATGCAATCAAGAGCGTTATGTGTGTGTGTGGATGGGCAAACATTACATGACTAGATGCCGACATTTGCATACTCCTGTGTGTTTATGCATGCATGGAAAGTTTGTACCACTTTGTGTGTGTGCCCATCGCACCAGAGCAATGCTTGTTACTGACTTGTTGCCCGGGGTTGTCTCTGCCCAGAATCATCATGACGGCTTCAGCCGCAGGCATCTATGGTAGCTTCGGCCAAGCCAACTATAGCGCTGCCAAGCTGGGCCTGCTTGGGCTGGCAAACACCTTGACCATCGAGGGAGGCAACTACAACATCCATTGCAACACTATTGCTCCCGTTGCTGGGTCACGCCTCACAGAGACCGTCATGACCCCAGGTGAGCAGAGAGATTAAACCACATGCATTGGTGCATGCAATTATTGGTCCGTATAATGCATACCGTGGTGTTCTGCTAATTCATGCTTTCTCACATATACATGGTTTATTTTGGACAGGCCAAAATAGGTAAATGGATTTTCACCACAGCAGTTTTTTTTTTTAAGAAGAAGAAGAAGAATGTAATGTCTGTGTAATGTTGATTTACAAAATTTGAGGCAACAGCACTCCCGTTTGACATGCAAATTTGTCATCTAATATTAAAGAACTGTGGTTTTTGTCTGTTCCAATGGCCATGATGAAATCATGCGCCCTGTAAGTGCTTTAAAAGTTTTAATGTGTCAGCCCTGGATTTAAACAGGCAGCTCTGACCTCCTTATTTTACTGTAGGTGTTAACCGTTCTTCCAAATACTCCCAAACGTATGAGTAAGTAAGCGATTGAAACATTTATCATTTTCACGTTGAAATGTTTTCTTAAGACGGAAGGTAATGCAGCGTTGGATACACACGGTGAACACGACCGAATATAGCTCGGAACAGCTTGTAAATGTGCAATACTCCATGTTGCCTATGAACATTTTATCAAACCAAAAAAAACTCATATCGGCCTTCAAAATGAAGGCCTTCCGCTTTCCAAACCCCGTATCTGTAAATGTCGACCCATCACGAGCATATTGTGCGTGCTCTGTGCGTGCAGCTCTGTTGACGGGGGTATTAAGTGACAAATTAGAGGAATGGCTCTGCTGCCCTGCTGTGCTGGTCTGCAGTAGCATCTGTCACACTGCACTGTGCCAACTGTCACAGGGTGGCCTCACCTTGGTAAATGACTTGGTTCCATATGTTGGCTTTCACTGACTCAGGCTTTTTGAAAAACAACAACAAAACCAATCCTTATAAACACTGCAGGGTGCAGGGAGACAGAATGCCTCTTCTTCTACCGCCGTCTTTTATCGATTGAAGGGTGCAGATAGTTTCAGCACACATATGGTGTCTAGTATTAAATCTTTTCACGGTTCATACTGAGGGAAAGAAAAAGCTTGTTTCATTACTTATTGAAATAAAAATACCCAGACCTTTCTTTTTAGAGATCACTTTAAACAGATGTTGACCTGGACCTATGTTCTCATGGATTCAAAAATGATTTTTCCTCCTCCAGTATCGGTGCATGATTTGTGCCATTTGTCCCGCAGAATATTATATTAATTATGCACATAGATGAGTTTGTAGTAAACAATTCATACCGTGTAATGTTAAGACAGTGATATAATATATAACTTGGCTTTTTGTAAATTTATAGCATGATCATACACATATTGTATACGTAAATGCCAGTTAGAAATCTACAACAATAAGGGTATTGTTTACTACTTTCCTATGCCCCGCCCCCCCATGATTCTTTTTGAGTAAAATGGCTTCAAATAAACCACAACTTGTAATTCATGTAAGCGCTGTAGAAAGGGGACAAAAGCTTGAGGCTTGTCTAATAAGTCGGACCATATTCTTAGTGGTGTTTTCAAAATAAACACATTAAGCCAACACAGTGTCATTGAAACAATACACTAACTACCAGCAGAAGCACCCCGTAGTTGCGCTGTATTTATACGTTTTCTTTTATTCAGAACTTGTGGCATCCCTGAAGGCTGAGTATGTTGCTCCCGTGGTCCTCTGGCTCTGTCATGAACAATGCCAAGAAAGTGGATCACTGTTTGAGGTATGCAAAAAACACTTTCTTTCTCTTCAATAAGATCTCACTCCCACTGTGCTTTCATTTAGCTTTGTATCTATTTTTATCACGGAGCACAGTAATGTAACATTCACATGTTCATTCTCCATAAATAGAAAATATACATACTGTATTATATATATATTTTTACATCTGTGTTTGCTCATGTTTCATCTTTCAGGCTGGTGCGGGCTGGATTGGGAAATGTGAGTATTGTATATATTTCTCCCTCAAGGGAATGTCTGTATGCATCTATGATAATCATTAGCCCCCGGTTCACTACTACTGCATGTGTGGGATTTTCCCGATGCAGTGACCGCTTTATTTGTGTGTGTGTGTGTGTGTGCAGTGCGCTGGGAGCGTACTCAGGGTGCCATTGTGAGGCAGAAAAACCAACGCATGACTCCTGAGGCGGTCCGGGACCAGTGGGACAAAATCTGTGATTTCACTGATGCCACCAAGCCTTCGAGCACACGAGGTCAGTGACGGCTGAATACACGCTTGCATATACAACAGCCTATACTAGAGCGCATGTGTTCATACTGTCTATGCACCCTTACACTTGCATGTGCATTCACACACACACACACACACTTGGATAAGGACCATACAGTAGATGACACGACGTCTTGTTTGCAGTTGAGACGTTACTCAGGCCGTTTTCACACAGATTGTGATCTCTAAACCCTGCCTGTCTGCTGTCACACTCTTTTTGACTCACTCTGTGTTGTCAGAATGATTCAGATTGCAGAACATAATCAAAGCCATCAGATGCTTACCAATTGAGCAACTATTGTAATGGTAAAATATGCATTTGAACTTTGTGTCCTCGATGTGAACTCGCAGTGAATTTGAAAACGTACGTGTCATCTATTAAGGAAAATGGCTACTGAAAAAGTAGCGAAACTACTTGCAGAGTGGCTGAACAACTTGTTCCTTACATGGAGTAAAGAAAGTGCAGACTAAGCAGTAATCAGAACTGGTGGTTGAAAACACCTCATGTTACCTTGAATGTATCGAAGCTGTGAAAAGTCAGCTGGATACAGCAGACGAGCCCTCGTGGGGGCTGCACTTTGAATCTAACTTGTTGCTGTATAGATAAAGGAGCCTGTGTGTTACATATTTTGAAGCTTTTACCACAGACTGCTGAATACGTACTCTGTTGTATACTCTTCCCTTGCAAGCGAATAAACGGAGAAAAGACGACTTTGAATCGTCTGAAGACTTTATTATTGATTTGTGAACAAAAACTCTTCTCCCGATTAACTCAGAAATCTTCCACAACACTATGCTCATTGTACAGCACGCTCAAAAACCAAAAAAATGATTTTTCTTGTGTTGAAAGTGCTCTAGCTTCTTGAAAGTACGTGTCTACTCTCTAGCTAGCTACCCCAACAAACAAATTAAAGGTATAAGTAGTCTGTATGGGGGTGGAAGCTCAAAAAATAATTTCAGTGAAAAATGAGGGGGGAAAGCGCATGGCAGTCATGAACTCACTCTGTACGACTGAACTTTCTGACATGAATTTAGTTTTTTGTTTTTACTATCGGCTCATCTGTATTTACAGAGTTTGGTAACACGGAGCGAGGACACCATGGTGTTAGAGATCAAGGGAATGAGGTGGTGAACATGAGTATGAGCAAGCCTATAGTGTTGTTCCCGAAGGGTCTCATGCAAACAAGAGGGTGGCAAAATGTTGATTATTATTTCCTCTCCGCCTCCTCCATCCCTCTCCACGCTCTCAGATGTACATTTCGAGGAAAGGGTCGACGGTGTTGACGTTAACTGAACAAGGGTGGCGGTCCCACGGGGGGCGCTAGCTGGCCTGATTAGCATGACTTTGTAGTGCCTCCTCGTTTGTAGCTTATTACAGAGACTTGTTGCTGCCTCTGTTTTGTAACTGCCTGCAACTGAGTGACGGTAATTAGTGGCTGTGGTCCCCCCAGTCTCTTGTTTCTGTTCCTTGGTTGTCTCCGCTGTCATCCTCCGTTTGTGTTGACTGGATCTGCTCGGGTATTCACAGCTTGTGTTACCTGGGTGGGTACGTTTTCTATTTCCAGGCAAACAGAGAACACACACAGTGTGGACTCGATGTCTCGAGTATGCAAACGACTAATAGTTTGAAGAACAGAGAACTGGTCATGTTTATATCTCGACGCATGTGGATCTCAAAACCGTCCATGCATTTTTGAAGCTGTTAGCGGTTCAGCATGTGTTTTGATTGGAATTCTTATCGTGCGTCAGCATCTCCCTGGAAGTCTATTTAATTTTACTGCGTTCAATTTAACTTCAGATTAGGAATCTTTTGGAGCTGACGGAGCAAAAAATAAATAAATCCTGGCGCTCAGTTCTGCAGATGTTCAGGTTTAATGATAGTCATCTGGGGGGGATGATGACATTTGAAGAAGATGAACCGCATAAATACGAACAAATTGTCAGATGTGAGGAACCCTAAACGTTCTATCAGCGGCACCAGTAGAGAAATGTTGATATTATGGTGATTTTACATGTAAACTTCCACATTATTGATAAATCATCAGGATCTCTTGGGGTGATTCTTGACAATAAAGAGCTGTATTATGAATAAAATAAGATTTTTACTAAAGAAGTAAGGAACCTATTCAACTTTAGTTCAACTAAAAGCACGCCTTGTCCTTAGCTTTAGATGTGCAGTTTCAGTAAAAAAAAGTGACGCAAGTGATCGTGAGAGCTAATCATGGTTTCAACTCTATCCATGCTGCCTTTATTTTGAAAGTGAGTTTACTGTTTGTAAAGTGCTCTGTAACTTAACAAGAACATCCTCCAACCGTTGTCGAGGAACAACGTTTGACAGATGAGAATTAACAGGATCATTTTAGCTGGCTAACACAATGTTAACCTGTGTTATTTAAACCACGTATGAAGAATGGTAAAGCCAGCTGATGGGTGTGTTTTCAATACGCTTGTTAACACAAGTGGAAGCTGTTTGCATAAAATACAAGTATCTGTCTACTTGGTCTGGGCCGTCAGAGATGCACATTCCTAACGGGCGGCTCTGATGATGGGTTCTTTTACTTGTCACTTCATCTAACTTTGGTGTCTGGTTCTGGTGCTCATCTGTCATCTCTCCACCTTTTGTATAGAGTCTGTACAGTATATGATGACTGTGCTGTCTGGACTGGAGTCAGATGGAGAAGTGGGTGCGACTGCAACCGCAGCTGCTGCTGCAGCCTCGGCTTCAGGGCTCAATCCTGTGAGTAGAGATGACTTTTTTTCTTTGCCAGTAATGTTAAAGGGGATCTGCCTGTCTTTGTATGTATGTATGTATGTGTCGGAGCGTTTCAAACACGGCAACTCGTGACTCTTTAATACCACCACACTCTACTTAGTCAGGGACCATAATAACATTCTTCGCCAAGCTCCGACAACATGCATAAGTACTTTTGATGTGTGATGCGTCGCCGCTTCATATTTACAGGAGACAAGCGTCGGCTCAGATTAGCTTTTTTTTTTAAAAACGGGATGTACAAAAAGACGCGGTAGCACAATAGTACAGCGACAGCTCCCTGGATGGGTGCTCCTTCACTGGGCTCCCTATCATTGAATCACAGATGATGAACTGGTTACAGCTCACTTTCACTCACTTCAGTGGCTGAGTCGCTTAAATAAAACATTGAGCCACGAGTATAATTGTACCGCATGAAATAATTATCCAGAGAGACGGCCACAATTTTCCATTAGGCTGGTTGTAGCATGAGATGGTGAGAACATGTCAGCAGTTTAATCTGTATTTGTAATGCTACTCGGAGAGACGACTGAACCCTTTATTTACTTTGTCTGCACAAACTGTTACTCTGAATCACTACAAAGTCATTTAACAAATGCTTAAACAGGACCAAAGCTTCATTTTGTGCAGTGTGGAGGCTGGTGCGACATGTATCGGTTATCGTACGAGCATCAGGCTACAAGTGCTTAAAAATGTTACTTGACTGGTATTAAAATGATACACAGTGGTGCATCCTGGGGGTGCAAGGTCACTGGTTTGTTTCCAGCTGGGGGAATTGTTGCACACCATACGGTTCTCACTCCCCATATTTCCTGTCTATATCTCCGCTGTCGGTAAAGAAAGAATAAATATATATCCGGCAATATATTGATCATCTCATTTTATGTATTTCAGAACCTGATCTGTTGGTTTGGTTATATTCTGCCGTACAACAACGTACACTTAACAAACTCAAACCAACATGAGAGCATGCAGAAACAAAAAGCATATCATGACATAGAATAATCCAAATTATAAATCGTATTGAACACAATCAAGGTGTTGTGTGATATTTTGTCTATCTGCCTATAAAAAAAAAATGGTTTCTTCTGTTTTAAAAGCATTAACACTTCAATATATTACATGTGCTTTACCATACTTCACTACACTTTATCTATGCATGTTGGTAGCCACATTCACTTTTGAGTCATTATTATACTTGCCTTTGGGGACCTCATTTCTTAACATCCTGCGAATCAGTAGAATGACTCACTAGCCTGCTTCAATGGTGTCCTGACTCAATGATCAGCATCCTCTCTGCTGTGCGTTTGTGTCTGGACTTGTATTTGGAGCAGAGTCACAATGTACCCTCAAGACAAACATCACCATTGTGTCCTCAGTTGACTTGGCTTTGTGGTAAGTGTGTGTATTTGTGTAGTGCCACACACACACACACACACACACACGGTGTGTGAGTTGCTTGTGTGACTTTGTCCTTGTCATGGTATTGTGCACATTTTGCTTAAATTACAGCACACTGCTTTGCTCATATTTATTTCATGTCACGCAAAGTATCGCATTAGCTCCACCAAGGTTAGCATTGCTCTGTCCACTCACATGTGCTTTGTGTGTCATGCAGGTGTGTTCCCTTGTTGGATCAAATTCATTTCTGTGTAGTTTATACGTGAGGCAAAGGCTTTTAAATTAGTAGGTCAGTAAGTTCATTTTATTTCTGTGTCATGCCAATAGATCTGGTCGTCCTCACATAAGACTACAAGAGCTTGCTGTGTGTCAAGTCTCAAAAATAACTGCAAGACATCAAAAATACGAAGCAGGGCTGAAACAGTTAGTCGATTAGTCGATTAATGGAATAATTAATCAATCGTCGATAATAGAGAGTCATGTATATTATCAAATCTCCAGTTACAGGGCTTTTGAAACAGAATATCTCCCACATCTGCATTCAAGTGTTGTGACTATGGACCAGCTGACATGTTGTGTGAGGCACAACATTCACACAAGCAATATTGTTTTGATCAGTAGCTCAACACAAGGGTTGATAAAATGACAAATAAGTACCGCAGGACTAATATGACTTTAATGTTGTCCCAGATGTATGTTTATTGTCCCATATTTCTGTCTTATTAAGAGGAGGGGATCTTTAGGGATGGATAGCAGTATTTGTCACATAGAAGTGCATACATCATCTGGAAGCTGAATATTAATTTGAGATGCGTTTGTTTTCTCATTAATAACTACAACGATCTATTGATTATTAAACTAATTTAAATAAATTGTGAAAGGTGTAAAAGAGCTCTATGATGGAAATACATGATAGCCATTCACATGCTCTAATATGTTGCAGCAATTTTTGGGAATATGAAAAAATCAACTCATGATTAATTAGTATTTTTAAACTCCTGGTTACAGCCCTGCAAAAAAAGAAATAAAAATGTTTACATAATGCTTCAACACATCATACAACAAAAAGTACAATATCAAAAAAAGACTAAATGAAATAAGGAGGATATCAATGAACATTAAGAATAATTAAAAAGACATCATGTATTTTATAAGTGAGTTTTGTTGTAATGGAAAAGTCATCACTCCGTCTTAAGTATCAGACAGCAGTGCCAGAGGATTAACAAGGATCTTAAAACATTTACAATGCAGTGAAGGGCTCCACCTTCCTGAGCTTTAAAAGGCATTCGTGACTTTGTGTCATTAACACTTGATTACTGCGACTCTCTCTCCGTTCAGCCAATTTTCAGTCCGCTCGTTAACAGAAGTGCAAGAACTAATTTAACATCGTGGCGTTTCTGGCCACCGGTGAAGTTCAGGGTGCGTTGTAAATTAGTGCTGACTCTGCCTGCGCCGGCCCAGGAGTGCATTTGTGAACTGCTGATTCCTCTTAGCTGGGAGATCCCACCGGTCCTCAACATAATTACTGCTGATTATCACAGATGAAATCTTCTAAAGCTGTTTCTTTTTGCTTTTATTTGCTTACGTTATGTCTGTCTTTTCTATCATATTCTTTTCTATGACCTTAACAAAGTATTCAGTTGTAAATCCCTTTGAAATGCTGAATACTAAAAAAACATCGTTCTGCTATTCCTCAGTGCGTTTACTGTTTTTATTGTCTCCTAAAAGGAATCTACAGCCATGCTAGCGGCTCTTTCTTTTACTTAATGCATCTCAAGAGATCTCCAAAGTCATTAGAATGCGTCAGCTGGGAACCATGACTGTGTGTACAACATGTCAATTCAATCCATCCAATAGTTGTTGAGATATTTCAGTCTGGACGGAAGTGATCAACTGACCGATCGACTGCTGTTCATCCCTAGAGCTACGCAGCTAGCATAGCTGACAACTGTTTAGATAAGTGCTCCATAAACAAAGGTTGATTCCTTATGTATTCTCTTATTGCCTATGTTCCACCTATATGTTATAGGATTGATTCATTCCACTGTATGTGCAGTGTTTATTAAATCATTTGTATTCAGGGGTTGAGCTGTCGAGCTAATCTACCATGGGGGTGATACTTTTTCTGCAACCCCTTAAATTCCTTTTCTCGGACTAACTAACGGGATAGCTTTTCATTCCTGCTCTCCGGACGTTCAGCTGATTAATATGATCACAAGCTGACGACGTCTCTTCTCCTTTCAGGCTGAGGCCGTGGGACAGAAACTACCACCGACCACTTTCGTCTTCACTCCCACCCAGTGCATCCTCTATGCGTTGGGGGTCGGCATGTCCACCAAGGACCCAGACCACCTAAGGTGTGTGTGTGTGTGTATGTTTTATGCTAAGGACTCTAACAGCCTTAAGGGATCTGTTAAGTCAACCTGTGTGAAATTTTATTACTTTTTTTTTTTTTTTTTTTTGTGATCACATTTTTATTGATTTTCAAGATATGCATTAAAATAAATAAATAAATTGCAATGAATACATACACGTGTGTGTGTGTGTGTGTGTATATATACATATATGTATATACATGGATACATAGATATATGCACACATGCATACCCTTACTCCGTAATCTCCCCCCCACACACAATTGGCGATGCCCACCTCCATTATACATCTCCATATAATACACTTGGGAATATATTATATAATTAATTAATTACATAAATTCTTGAATTGTATGTCAGACTCTAGTCCAGGGTGAGGGAGTTTTTCCTTTAGCACCATGCATTCTACTGAGAGGTCCATGTTTACAACATCAAGATGCGATTCAGTAACGCGTAACATGTTCGTGTAGGTTCCTGTATGAAGGCCACGAAGACTTCGGCTGCCTCCCAACCTTCGGGGTCATTGCCTCTCAGGCTGCCATGATGGGTGGCGGGCTGAGCTCAGTCCCTGGACTCAACATAGATTTCACACAGGTTAGAAGACATGCATGTCGTGTGTGTGTGTGCGCGCTTCACCTTGTGTGCTCATATGCACATTTGTATCCATATGGTCTATTTCACACAGCAATGCACACATTACTCATGCTAATGAGGCTTTACGATATAGATATGATTGTGTATCACAGCTGTTCTAATGCTCTGTGTCAGGTGTTGCATGGAGAGCAGTATCTGGAACTCTACAAACCTTTACCAACCTCAGGTATTCCCTTCTCTACTGTTATAAGCACTTGATGTACTTGCTGTAGACTTTACGTTATAGTAAGTAGAATAAAAGGCATTTTAGAGCCTCACTGAGTCCTTTTTGTTAGGATTCATGTTACTGTGTTTAACTTTATGTCACAAATGTGGGAGCAGTCTGAGTTTAATAGATCATTTAGAGACATTTTTATGATGCCTTTAAGTGTAAGGGTCTCTAAGGGCAGCCTACCCTATTAAGCCATGATGGATTTTAATTGTATATCCTATACTAGCATATCCATACTGGGAAAATGACTACATACTGTATGGACCAGCGTGGCCCCAGTTTGTGCCTCTCATGTATTATGATTTAAATCAAGTACCAGAGCTAAGCTTTTGTCTCACTCACATGCATATAGCGTAGATATGCTATATATAGCGTAGATATGCTATATATAGCGTAGATATGCTATATATAGCGCAGATATGCTATATATAGCGCAGATATTCTCTCTCTCTCTCTCTCTCTCACACTCACACTCACACTCACACACTCACACACACACACAAATTTAAAAAAAAAAAATAGCGCAGATATGCTAGTTTGGTAATATTAAGTACTTGCATGATTAAAGTACAACATTGTATTCAAGTAGAAGTAAATGTTTAAAATACCTTTTCTAGGTGCTCTTACCTCTCAGTCCAGCGTAGCAGACGTGTTGGACAAAGGATCCGGCGCCGTCATCCTCTTGGATGGTGAGTTTCTTTCCCCTCATAGTCTGTATTTATTCAACATGCATTTGTTTCATAACACTTTCATTTGTCTTAGCCTGAACGTTGCCTCTCAGGCTGAATTATTGAAAGTTAATTCTCAGCCCGTGTCTGCAGGGATTGAAATAATGGACTGAGAAACGGCTCATGTTCCTGTTTTGACAATTCCATAGAGATGGATGATATTAGAAGCACTCTGATCTATAATGAATCCGACTTAAAACAAATCACATGGGACCTGACGTTCCCAATTGGGATGTCAATTCTTTACACACACGAAACCAATCAGCGTCTGTTATCCTCCCGGAGTGAAAGCCAAGTTAGTTCTGGGTGAGCCAACACGGTACGGTTCCGTCCTGCAGAAGCAGCTGTGTTAGTCTTTGTGCCCGGTCCTATTTTGAATTGACCTGATGAAATGAGCCGTCTGGTACGCTGAGAGGAGGCTGGAGATGATTCCTCCTGACGGCTGCTAATTGTCGCTTCTTAGTCCGCTTTCCGTGTGGTTCCTTTCATGTTTCCTCCTGCTCCAATTATACTATAAATACGCTGTGTGTGTGACACTGAGGCCCTTCACCCTTTTTTGTTATTTATTTTTTGAATTGAGTGTAACTTAAAGTGATTGCGAAGCAAGAATACAAACTCAATGGTTGCGTTACTTTCGCCCTTCCTTTGTCAAAATCCACTGCACATCGGTGAGTTTAGCATTCTGAAACACGACGACACATCGGCCCAAAGTGTGTCGATAACAACATAGTGAAGAAGATTCGACAGCATTTAGAACTGTAACATGTAGCAGTGTCTCTCTCTCCATTCATGCTACATTGACTTCAACCGTAGCCAGTAGAGTACGTTATAGTTCACTTCACTGAATATAAAATATAACGTACGATGATGTAACACTGGGCATTGTGCTGCATTATGAGTACTGATACGTTCCTGATAATACCTCTGGGCTTAAGTAGAAATATATATGCAACTGGTATATTGTTTAAATGCCACATTTGTGCCACTTCACAGTGAACACCTACAGCGGCGACGAGCTGATCTGCTTCAACCAGTTCTCAGTGTTTGTGGTCGGAGCTGGAGGGTTCGGAGGGCGGAGGAACTCCGAGAAAGCCAAAGTACGTATTCCTTGTTTGAGTAACAAGATAAGACACCGGGAGCTGTCGCTGCCTCATATTTGATTTGTTTTATTTGTGTTTTTATTTCCTTCAGGCTGCTCTGCCTCCACCCAAACGGGCACCAGATGTTGTGGTGATTGATTCTACCACAAGAGACCAAGTGAGTGTGTGTCTGTGTGGGTTTAGCTGCAGAATAAATCAGCTGCATTGACTGTGTGTGTGTGTGTGTGTGGGGGGGAGGAATAGGACATATATTGTTTTGTGCCTCTGAAATAACCTTTTTGACAACATTTGAAGAAGTGTTGGACAAGATTCTCATCCATTTGAAAAAAAAAAAAAAAAAAAAA